TGCCTCAGGACCACGTGGTGCCCTGAATCTGGGAAGGTCTGCGAACAGGAGCTGTGTGGAGGGAGTTAACACAGCAAGTTCATCAACAATAGAATTAGTTGGGCTTCCGTGGTGGCGCAGTGGTTAAGAATCCACCTGCCAATGCAGGGGACACGGGTTCAAGCCCTGGTCTGGGAAGATCCCACATGCTGCAAAGCAACTAAGCCCGTGCGTCACAACTACTGAGCCTGCGCTCTAGAGCCCGCGAGCCACAACTACTGAGCCCACGTGCCACAACTACTGAAGCCTGCGTGCCTAGAGCCCGTGCTCCGCCACCAGAGAAGCCACTGCAATGAGAAGCCCACGCACCACAAGGAAGAGTAGCCCCCGCTCACTGCAACTAGAGAAAACCCGCGCGTAGCAACGAAGACCCGATGCAGCCATAAATAAATTAATTAAAATCTTAAAAATTAAAAGAGAATTAGCATAAATTGTAATTTGAGTTTATTAAATATCAGTGGGAAAGGTATAAAATCTTATTGCTTTCACTTTAAAAACTTGTTCTATGAAATTTAAATGTTCATTCAGCTTAATAAAAAATTATATTTTTACCAAAATAATGATTGGCATGTGGCTTTCTGGAAGCCACCAAAATGCACAATAGGAAGCACAAAAGCACAGCTGTTAGAAGCGTAGGTGCTGAAATAAAAATACGTGTGGGTGCTGGCATTCTAGGCTCCGCTTGACGGATGTGCCATCTGGAGCAGGTCGGCGGCCCTAAAGCTCAGTTTTCTGCGTTTTAAGTGGAGATACTGCATCAAACCCATCCTCATAGAGTTGGTGTGAGAATTAACCGAGATAATGCATACAAAGCAGTTGGAACCAAGTAAAAGCTCCATAAACTGCTATTGTCATAGATCATGATAGAGTCATACAGTGGAATACGACATAGACGGTCAGAATTACGCTGTAGATGGATGCGTATTTGCCAAAGAAAAATGGTGTAAAATGGCATGGACAGCATTTCATTTTTGTAGGTTACAAATGTATAGATATGTGATTAGAAAAAAAGTCTAGAAATACGTTATACCAAAGTACCAACAGCAGTTACCTCTGGATAATGGAATTTCAAGAGAATTTTTTTAAATTATTATTTCTTCCACCATGTGAGTATACAATAGGAAATCTGCTACCCAGAAGAGGGCCCTCACCCAACCCTGCTGGCACCCTGATCTCAGACTTCCAGCCTCCAGGAGAAATAAATCTCTGTCGTTTACAAGCCACCCGGCCTGTGACACTTTGTTACAGCAGCCCAAATGGGCTAAGACAGGGTTACTTAAGAAGAAGCCTGACTCTGAGCTAATAAGCCTTTGGTTGTATGGATCTGTCCAGTGATGGTGAGTAATCCTGGCTGCCTCCGCGTTTACCCAATTTGCAGCAATTACTTCAATGGGGAAGGGGGGCCATGAGTGGAATAAAAACTGCAAAACTAAAGTTACAAAATGTTGACAACTGTCATAATCAATAATTCTTGTTTAACAGAAATCTACGTACACAATCTGAAATTTGAAAAGCACCAAATTACGGTCATTCCTAAGACACGCCCCCTCCAATTGTATAGAATTTAAGTGCTCTACCCCCTGATATTTTCCTTGACTGCATCACTGGGCGGCCCATCCACCTCTCCCTCTGTAAGTATTCTGACTAAATACTGACAATGGCCAACTCTGTACCAAGTTCACGCAATGACACAAGAGCTGCTCCTGAGAACCAGCCAGTTAACAAGCAAAGGCCTTGCCTTGCGTCCTGGCTCCTGAGAAAAGCTATAGGTTGACTGCCTTAGTGACAGGTTACACGTAAAGGTGAGGCACCGTGGGCTCTGGAGGGCAGAACTGCTCTCCCACTTGGGTTCCGCTGCCCCCAAGAGCAGCAGTTGTCCCCTGTTTCTACTTGTTGCACCCCTCTCTGCCGTGTGTCTTCGGCGGCTTATAGCTCCTGTTTCCCTGTGTGTCTTTCAGCTTCTACCCTGCTTCTGACTTGACGCACCTTACACTCGAGCTCCGAGGGGCTGGGAAAGCTGAGCCAATCGCACAGATGAGATCACCCTTCTGAGCCAGGCTTTGAGCAGGCCAGCCCTGGGTCAGGTGCCCATCCTGATGCAGCCAGCGCTGGGCCAGAACTGCAGAGTCACGTCACACAGACCACGCCCACCTGTGCAGGAAGAAACCCCCCCGTCGCACCCTATGGGCATGAAAAGCCTTCCAAGATCTCCCCAGAAAGCAGCTGTATAATTAACCAGCGAGCACCCTGCCTGTTCTGCTCACTAGAGTTGAAAATAAAACTATCCATACAGACCCAATGTACTAACGTAATGACTTTGATCTAATATTAGCTCAAGTTACTAATGAGTTTCTACATTTCAGCAAACACAGAGACAAAGCTATACTCCAAATCAGGATGGGATATTTCAGTTCAGAATTTATGTACTGTTAAGTGAGGTTTTATAAGGTATCTACTGTTCAACCAGGGCACAATGCTTATTCCCAAAATTCTCCTGTTTGAATATTTTTACTATAGTGTACGGCACACACTAAATGACAAATTTTCTTGAACTCTTGACGGCTGGCTAATTTTATGCTTGCGTTAATCTTAAAAATTACAATTCTTATGGAAAATTCAAACCCAATTTTCTTACACACAATAAATTCAAGCTGGCTTCTTTCTTGTAGTTTATCTGGGCACATCACCTGTTTTGTTGTTTTTTTGCTTTTTAACATCCAACCCATTTTGTAGGTTTCCTCTTCGACCTTGACCTTGGTCATGCTGACATCCGACTGACAAAGGAGACTTCTGAACCAAGCCTGGCACTGCCCAGTTCAGGGAAGACCTCTGTATAGCACACTGAGGTCAGATCTCTTTCTTCCTTCAGCCAAGTGCTGCCTCTAAGGCTTTTCATTGGTTTGTCTCCAGCTGGCTGTTCCTCTCTCCTCTTAACTACTGTAGCTGGTTTTCTTTTCTTCTGGGCTACCTCCTTAAAGATTGAGCAAAAGAGCCCTCCCAACTTTAGAAGCTCTGGGATGGGAACCTTTTTAGTTCAGGGAAGCATTTGATACTCCTTGCATGTTTGTGTTTTGGTTGACTCGCTTTAATTTCAAAAGACTTATGTAGCTAATCTTTCTTCTATCAAAATCAAAGGAAAGTTGGCCTTTCCTTGGAAATGAAATCTTTAACAAAAACCACATTAAAGACCAAGTAACAAGAAATGAACTGATATTATGAAAGAATTCAGAGAAAAGTAGGTATCATAGAATAATTTGAAAACAAGGCTAAGAAGAAACTTTATATTCAGTGCCATATCACATACTGTATGTCACACTGAGGACAGAATCAAGCATTTAATCTGATCTCAAAAGAGAAAAGAAGGAACGCAAAGTAAAGGGACAAGATGACAGGCTAAGCCTTCCTGAGTGTCGGCTCACCCAGCCCCGTCACTGGGGCCAGGAGGCACGTGGAGGTCACATGGCTTGCCCAGGGCTGTGCAGATTTTAGGAGACAGAGCAGGAGTTCAAACCTAGGGGTACTCGAAACTGAAGTCCTTGCCTTGCTGATGGGCCATTTCTGGAATAAAACTGGCATACCAGTCAATGCTTCTTTTTTCATAATGATTTAAGATATAAACATCTCTTGCTAAGGTAGGGGAGTCTGAACCAATTGTAACTTGTCCTCAAGCAACACCACACTTAATGATGAAATTTATACTGCTTACTTCCTAAGATCAAGGAGAGGACAAGACAAGGGTATCTGCTCTCACCACTTCTATTCAGAATCATAGTGCAGTAAGACAGAAAATTATATAAAGCATCCAAAATGAGAAGCAACAAAAACTATATGATTATCTACGTAGAGAAGCGAATGGACTTCTACAAAAAATCTACGAAAACTAGTGAGTTTAGCAATGTTTTAGAATAAGAAATCAATAGTCAAAAATCAATTGTATTTCTATATACAAGCAACAAGCAATCAAAAGATCAAAAAATTTAAATCCCATTTATAACAGCATCAAAATATGAAATACTTAAGAGTAAATCTGATAAAAGATATATACAGCCTATACACTGAAAAGTACTAAATACTGCTGAGAAATTAATGAAGACCTAAATAAAGGGAGTGATATACCTTGTTCATGGGTCAGAAGACTCAGTATCATTAAAATGTAAGTCCTCCCAAAATTGATTATAGATTCAAAACAATGCCAATCAAAATTCCAGCAGGCTTTTTTGTAGAAACTGACAAACTGATTGTAAAATGCATATGAAAATGTAAAGGTCTTAGATTAGTCACAACTCTGAAAAAGAACAAGATTAGAGGAATAAAACTACCTTATGTCAAGATTTATTATAAAGCTATGATAATCAAAGCAATATAATGTTGATGTAATGACAGACAAATATATCAACAGAACAGAAGAGCGTCCAGAAATAGACCCACACATATATGGACAACTGAATTTTGACAAAGATGCAAAAGCAATTCAGTGGAGAAAGAAGAGTCTTTTCAATGAACGGTGCTGGAACAACCGGATATTCATGTGCAAAAAATAAAAGAAACTTTGAGCCATACTTTTCACCACATACAAATATTAACTCAAAACTCAACAGGTTTCAAAAGAAGATACACAATCCAGAATTTTTATAACATTTCATCTAAAATGGCCACCATAAAATATAAATTACTAGATGTGAAAAGAAACAAATAATGACCTATAATCAAGAGAAAAGTCATTCAATAAAAGTAGACCTATGAATGATCCAGACATTACAATTAGCAGACAAAGATTTTAAAATAACTATGATAAGCGTGTTAAAGAACTTACAGGGCTTCCCTGGTGGCGCAGTGGTTGAGAGTCTGCCTGCTGATGCAGGGGACACGGGTTTGTGCCCTGGTCCGGGAAGATCCCACATGCCGTGGAGCAGCTAGGCCCATGAGCCATGGCTGCTGAGCCTGCGCGTCCGGAGCCTGTGCTCTGCAACGGGCGAGGCCACGACAGTGAGAGGCCCGCGTACTGCAAAAAAAAAAAAAAAAAAGAACTTACAGAAAACAGGGGTATGCTGGGGAGAGATGGGAGAACTTCAGGAGAGAGGTGGAAACTATAAAAGGGAACCAAATGGAAATCCTAGAACTGAAGAATATGTTGTCCAAAATTTTTTAAATTATTAAACTAGAAATCAGAAAAACAGAGGCTTAGTGACTGGTAGAAAGCTATCAAACTGTCTAATATGTGTGAAATTGGAGTCCCAGAATAAGAGAGGAGAGAGTATGAGGGCAGGAAAAAAACACCTGAAGAAATGTTGGCAGGGAAGTTTTCCAAATTGGATCAAAAACAGTAACTCACAAATCTAAGAAGCTCAGTAAACCTCAAACAGCATTAAAGCAAAGAAAACTACACACAGACACATCACAGTCAAACTCTAAACACCAAAAATAAAGACAAAATCTGAAAAGCAGAAGGGTAGTGGGGAACATATTACATAAAGGAATTAACAAGATGATAGCTGACTTCTCAACAGAAAAAAAATGGAGGCCAGAAGAAAAGGGAACATCTTTAATACTAAACACACACACACACACACACACACACACACACACACGCTGTCTACTTAAAATTCTATATCCAGCAAAATAAAAAGTCTTTCAAAAATGTAGAGGAATAAAATAACATGAGGGAGATATTTGTGGTGATAGGACAGCTCTGTATTATGATTGTGGTTTGGGTTACACAAATCCACACATGTAATAAAACTGACTAGAACACACACACACAAATGAGTGCATGTAAAATTGGTGAATTCTGAATGAGTTCTGTGGATTGTACCAATTTCCTGGTTTTGAGATTGTGCTCCATTTATGTAAGCTGTTACCATCAGGAGAATGGTACACAGGACCTCTCTGTACTATTTTTAAACTATCTGTTAATAGTTATCTCAAAATAAAAAGTTAAAGAAATGAAATAAAGACAATTTTCAGATAAATAAATGTTGAATTTGTTGCCAGAGACTATACGAGATGCTAAAGGAAATTCTTCAGGCAGGAGGAAACCAGGGTAAGCATAAAGCCCCATCTGTGAGGGCTGCACACAGTGACCTCCTTCCAAAGAGGACAGCATGGAAAGGGAGAAAGAAGAGTAACTTACCTGTGGGGAAGCTGACAGTCACCACCTCAGACAGGTGATCAAGGACAACAACCACAGTGGTCGGTCACAGGGATACGATGCACCTTTGATGTGATGAAAATGGCACTTTACCTCTGTGGTCTTCCTCCCAAAACCTGAGAAAAACATCAGACAAATCCCAATTGAGGAACAACCTACAAAACACCTGGTCAGCATTCCTCAAACTTTCAAGGTCATCAAAAACAAGAAGAGTCTGAGAAATGGTCACATCCAAGGGGAGCCTAGGGAGCCATGACAACTAAATGTAACAGGGTGTCCTGGATGGGACCCTGGACCCGAAAAAGGTGTTAGGGGAAAACTGAGGAAATCTGAATACTGTATGAGCTTTAGCTAATAATAATGAATCAATATTGGTTAATTAATTCTAACAGTACCACACTAGTGTGAGATGTTAATAATGGGGGAACTGGGTGCAAGGCATGTGGGAATTCTCTATACTATCTTCCCAATTTTTCTGTACATCTAAAACTGTTCTAAAAAATAAAAGTTTGTTTTTAAAAAAAGACTTGAGAGATATAGCAACCAATTGCACCATATGGACTTTAATTAGATTCTGATTTGAACACACTGCAAAGAAAATTATGACACATTAAGAGACATTTGAATAGTCTGGCTATTTGATGGTATTAACGATTCCTTAATTGGCTTTCTTTGTTTTCAGAGTAAAAATGTCATGTTACATTTTTTTTTTAAAGAGTCATCTTTCAGAGAAAATACTTATACACTTATGAATGAAATGGTATGACGTCTAGGATTTACTTCAAAACAATCCATGTGTGGGTAGGTAATGGGTAGCATGAAACAGGATGGTCCATGACTCGGTAAATATTGAATGAAGCAAGTGATGGGTCTGGGGTTCACTGTACTAATCTACTTTCATATATGCTTGAAATTTTCCAAAGAAAAAAGCCGCAGAAAAATTTGTAAAATCTGCCTTAGTGTTTTGGATGCTTAGTTTTTAAACGTCTCATTATTTGTTAAGGGATATTCACTACATTATCAGCTAATATCAAGGTGTAATTACACTTAGTCATTAATGATAGTGGATGTGAATCCATATTTTTAATGCTCTTAATTTTTACCTTTTTGTAAAACTTTTTGGTCATCTTCTTGTAAGATATGATTAGATTATCATGTTTACCTTTAATGTAGCTGGCAAAAAGCTCATACAAGGAAGAGGTGGCAGCCCTGCTATATTTCTTAGTGTGTGCTTATATTGCATTTTTATTCTCATCATTAATTCATGGTTTCTTTTTTTTTTTTTTTTTTTAGGTACACGGGCCTCTCACTGTTGTGGCCTCTCCCACTGCGGAGCACAGGCTCTGGACGCACAGGCTCAGCGGCCGTGGCTCACGGGCCCAGCCGCTCCGCGGCACGTGGGATCTTCCCAGACCGGGGCACGAACCCGCGTCCCCTGCATCGGCAGGCGGACTCTCAACCACTGCACCACCAGGGAAGCCCCATGGTTTCTTTGAAGGAAATCTTTTAAGACCCATGACCGTTTTGTGAGATTCAGTTTAGCAGAACTTATATAATACATTCTGAAATTCCTCAGAACCAGACATGTGAAAAGCAATACATTATAATATTCTGAACACTAAACAGTAAGGACAACACTGCCGGCCCCTCCCTGCTGTGGAAGCCCCAACAGGACACCTCTCATCCCAGGCACCACATGCCACCGTCTGCCATGACGGTGCCATGTCAATCCATACACAGTATTACATATAAGCAAAGCTCAATTATTTTATTCTTAAAATAAAAATGTTAAAAAAAACACAAGAAGTTCTTTTTTTTTTCCCCTGCACACCAATGGTAGACACCCTGGATCCCAACACGCTGGATAAAACCCAACACTGAGAACTCTTCACATTGAAGGAGGAACCAATGGTGAATATGTCTCTCAGATGGTAATTATAACTTTCGGTGGCTTATGAGCACTGTGACTAAATTCCACATCTAAGGCACATTTGAAGAGCATGTGTAATCGAGGCCCCGGTGGCCAAGCCATCGCCTGGTGTTATCGCAAGGACCTGGCCCCCCGCTTCTCCCGAGCATCCCCAGATGCTGCTGCTGCTGCACGGGCTCTTAGGAGCAGCTGCTCCCCTCCAGCCATCATGCCTGATGGCCACACAGGGACCCTCAGGACCTGCTCTGCCGGGCAGCTAGCACTCTGCTAGTGAACGCTCCCCCTAGGCACAAGCTGGCTTGGGATGCTGGGAAGAAGGCCAATTTCACCCACCGCCCAGCAGAAACTAGATTCAAACTTTAAATGAAACTTTACTGATAATTTGAGGACAGTTGACGGGTTCGTTTTCTAGAGCTGCTGCTAACAAAATACTACAAACTGAGGCTTAAAAAAACATAAAGGGAATTCCGTGGCGGTCCAGTGGCTAGGACTCTGTGCTCTCACTGCCAAGGGCCTGGGTTCAATCCCTCGTTGGGGAAATACGATCCCACAACCCATGGGGGGAAAAAAAGTAAATTTATTTTCTCATAGTTCTGGTGGCCGGAAGTCTAAAACCCTCCCTTCAGAGGGAAGCAGGGCCATGCTCCCTCTGAAGTCTCTGGGGGAGGGCACTTCCTTGCCTTTTCCGGCTCCTGGGAGCGCCAGGTGCTCCTCGGCTTGTGGTAGCATCACTCCACTCTCTACCTCCTTCTGTGTGTGTGTCTGCATCTCCTCTTCTCTTATGAAGAAACCAGTCATATTGGACTAGGGCCCACCCTACTCCAGTATGACCTCACCTTAACTAATTATATCATCAACAGCTCTATTTCCAAATAGGATTACATTCTGAGATCGTTAGGACTTCAACATATCTTTGTGGGGGACGCATTCTGACATAGGCTAGGACCTGGGACCCTTCACTGCAGTGCTTGCACCTGGACAAACATCTCCTCTCCCCAGTCCTGGAGCAACAGAATACAAAGAAACTAAAAGGAACTAAAAATAGCTGCATGCATGTATTGTTGGGGCCAATTATGAACAATAAGATACAAAAAAGCCAAAACCCAACTGCCACATCTGAGGTACCAGGAGCAAAAGCATGATCCCTGCACACAGCATCACCAAGGGGGAGGGCAGACCACCTAAGCCACCTCCAGCCGGACCCACCAATCGGCCCCCATCCTCTCCCCATTTAAGGGACCAACTCACCCGCCCTCAGGGAGCGAGCAAAGGCACCTGTTACTTGTTCTAGCTCCCTCGTGCTACAGCACAAGTCCCAGTAAAGCCTTGTCTGAATTTCTCATCTGACCTCCTATCAATTTCTACTCATTAAAGAGTCCAAGAACCCTGGTCGGTAACAATTCATCCCCTCACATGGCGAATAATCTACAGCTACTGCAGAGGCCCGACCTGTCCTCAGAGCTCCTGCTGAGCTGACTTCCTTTCTCACGCTCAGCCCACGCCATGGACTGAGGGCCACCCCGGCTCACTCCACTTCCCGCTTCTGGGAGCACCTCATGAAACCCCACACCTCAGGGTTTGGGCCAGGCTGATCCCCTGGCTTTGGAAAAAAAGAGGATCTTCTTTCAGCCCCGGGTAAGTCGGGGGCATGGCTTCTGCATGATGGCCTCATGCTAGGACACTGAGGCCAGGCCTACCAAGGCCCTGCCGAGGAAACCGCTCTCTCATTCACAAGACCACACAATGAAATGACCTTGGCGTGCTGCCCAAATCTGGACTGTTTGATTTTTAACAATACCCTATGTGAGGCATAACAGACCACTCTGATTTGGCTTGTACCAAGGTTAAGGTGAGCCTAGTTCTTTTTCTAGTCTTCCTTCATCAAATACTCAAAACGCAAGACAACAGCAAAACACCTTCATGCCTACTTTCATTTAGGGTCACCCTTTCACGTGTGAAAAGGTAAAATAATTTCACAGATGTCTTTCTAGGAAAAATAAGCATAGTAGTGATTTTCACTCCTCTCTTTCTTAGTCTAACCCAATGTAGAAAAAAAGACGTTTTGTACATTACCTCCGGGAATTAGTTCCGACTACAAGTCAGACGTCACTGGCCTTAGAAATGACATCCCACAATATAATCCCAAATAACGAACAGCTGAAGCTTCAAGTAACTGCCATGAACTGCCACGACCCGCTACACAGGAGGTTTGGGCCAAGGGAGCCTAACCTGGCCAACCTATAGGTTTAGCATGAGCTCCTCACTCAAGAGATAATGTTAATTAGCTGACCTCACCATGTCTTCTCTCTGGAATTTAAATGGAAGAGACAGGATTCTTGGTTCCCAGGGCAACAGAAGGACACACAGAGAGAAGGCAGTATGCAGAGGCGATAAGACAGAGCAGAACCTGCACAGGAGAAACTGATTGGTGGCAGAACTCCCTGCTGCTGAAAAGGTTAACAAGTGTTCTCAATCAGAAGAACTACAATTGATCCTTAAACATCACAGGGGTTACGGGCACGGATCCTCTGCTGAGTGGAAAATCCGAGAATGGCCCTCCGGATCTGTGGTTCCTCTGTATCTGCCACCCGGCATCCACAGATCCAACCAACCTTGGATTGTGTTGTACTATAGTATTTGCTATTGAAAACATCCGGGTGTAAGTGGATGTTCAAACCTGCAGTTCAAACCGGTGTTGCTCAAGGTCAACTGTACTTTGAATTCAGAAGCAAGTCCATTTTCTATATGGTCTGGCTGCAGTCAGTTATTTCTATGTGAATTCATACATTAATCCCAAATGTTTTAGGTAATCTGAGTCATTTCTTAAACCAAAGAAATTCTCCCCATTCTGGAATAAAGGAATTTTCAGAACTCCTGGGTCTGGCCTTAAAGGGCTTTAACACAACTGAAACATTTCTTGAATGAATTTGTCCTTTACAAGTGCATTTCCCAGTCTGGACTCCTACAACTCCCAGGCTAGGACAGTGCTTTCAAACTTTTTGACGCAATGCACAGTAAGAAATACATTTTACAATGGAACTCAGTATACGATACACATATATAGCATAACTATAAATATACATACACATACAACAGAAGTGTCATGAAACAATACTCACCCTTACTACGCAAGCTACTTTTTTATTCTGTTCTTCTATTTAAAAAAACAAAAAACATCCACTAAGCTGATTTCACAACACACTAGAGAGTCTAGTACCATCCGTTCAAAATACTGCAGTAGGTGCATCCAAATTCACAGGATAAAAATTACACATTTGACCAGAATTTTAAAAAATATTTCAACTAATTAGAGTAGAAATGCAAAAATTCATTTAGATAAAATACAACTTTAAAGGCATTGCTCACTTCCAGCTGGTGGCCTGGTGCTTCAATCTGTAGACGTCCCAGGACATGAATATGTGCACACACCCTCTCCTGTTGAGTACTTCAGCGGGATGGTGTAAGGATTCTGCCGTAACGCCAGTGTTCTAACTCAACAAGGCGTCTGTATGAGGCTGTCACCTCTAAATCTTCATACCAGGAATCCTACCCTGCCGCTCAGCTTCCTGGGGGCTCCTCCTCTGTGCTCACTGGGAGAGGCCATGACCAGAGAGCGGTGGTCCCACTCAGCCACGCTGGTCAACGCTGCCACTCAGCCCGAGCACAACAGGGGACATCGGTAGGATTAGTGGGTATCTGCTTCTTTGGCAACCGCCATGGACAAGAATACCTACCATGACGGAAAGCTCTGATCGCATCATTTCTTGGGCCCGGCTTTCACCTTCTTTTTGCAGGAACCAGGCCTCCCGGGCTGGCGTCCCTTCTTGTACCCCAAAATTGGCCACACCCAGGGCCCTTCATCAGCACCACTGGAAAAAGGGGTTGTTAGTGCGCCTTTTGTGGTAAATACAACAGCGTCCCTTTACCGAAGAGGTCAACCCACGCCAGAGAGCAGGCGCATCGGTCTTAAATCCCCTCCCCCCCCGCGCCCCACCTCGGAAGGACGGTTCTGGAGAGTTCTCAACAAACAACGGCTGGTGTTACGTTTGCCTACTTAATTAGCCACGCAGGTGTTGACAGTTAAAGATGTGTCAACTTGCACTATTTATTTCCCGTGAGGTGTGCGGGATCCGCAAATCCCAGGGTTGAGACCAGAACTGGGGGGTGCGCACTTTTTCAATGAAATGCATAACATTTTGAATTAACGCATATTCCATTCTTCCCACGGTCCTTCACCCATGGATGATACTCAGTCATCACCTGCATCATCAAACCCAGACTTACTAACGCTAATATAGCAAAGAGTTTAAAAAAATAAAACACGAGTAAGGTAATAACCAACCAACAGCCCAGCGAGCAACCGCCACGCGCCTCGCGCCTTTTAAGGGCTCAGAGGGCGGGAGTCCACGAACCTCTCAGCGTTCCACCAATCACCGCATCTCTCACACCTTGCCCCGCCTTCTCACCCCGACCTAACCAATCACTGGGGAGCTAGCTTCTCTCCGCCCCTCCCGTCCGCCACCGACCCTTACGAAGTTCGAAGCCTTCAAACCTCACTGGTGCCCAACCGCGCGGTCCCAGTCCGAATTTATTTTTAGCTCCCGGGCAAGCAGCCCCGCCTCTGGCTCCTCCTCTCCACCGCCCCCAATGGGAGAAGGAGTTTCCGTCGCGTCATCGTGCGGGCGGGTTAGAACTGCCCAATCAGCGCTCGGAGAGAACTGGTGTAATTAAAAAGCGGCGGAAGCCGGTGGGAGGGTCATGACGCAGCGAGTTTCAGTCGTGATTTTTCCAGGGGCATCTCGGCGTCCTCTCTTTTTCCGTTTAAAGTAAAACACCGCCCGACGCAACCTCGTGCGTTTCGGGGGCGAGGGCGGCCGCCGCAGCGGGAGTGCGGCGCTGACGTGAGCCTCTGTCTGGGGGCCCTGCGGCGGCGCGCGGTCACGTGGGCGTGTTTGGGGGCGGGGCCGCGCGGCGGTTCCGGGCGGTTGGGCGCGCGAGCGAGGAGCCGAGGCAGCCGCGCCCGCCCGCCCCGCCCCTGGATGCCGCTGTGCCCCGGCGCGGCCGCCACCGATCGCAGCACAGGAGCCGCCGCCGCCACGGTTGATGTGGTTGGCCCGGGGCTGAGGAGGCCGCTAAGATGCCGCAGTCCAAGTCCCGGAAGATCGCGATCCTGGGCTACCGGTCTGTGGGTGAGTGGCGGGCGCCGTGCGGCCTCTTCGCGCCCGAGCCCGGCCTCGCCTGGGCGCTGGGGCGCGGCGGGCCCGGCCAAGTTTGGGGCCGGCGCGGCCATGTGGCGGCCGCGCGTTTCGTAACCAGCCGCCCGCCGCCGCCGCCACTGCCGCCGCCACTGCCGCCGCCGCCACCTCCATCTTGAGCGGAGGCGGCGGCGCGGCCGGGCCCGCGGGGCGGCGGCGGGCGGCCCGGGCGCGGCGGGAAGTGTCTGGGAGGCCGCGGGCGGACGGGGAGCTCAGGTTGGTCCGGGGCCGGAGAGGCGGTACGGAGTCTGCCGCTCGGCCGACTGCCGCGGGGCCCGCAAAGGCAGGAGCCGCACCTGTCCCTTTGCACCTCCCCGCGGCGAGCTGTCGTGATCGTTGCTAGCCTTTCCACCCCCAATTAAAGTCCATGGGATTTTAACAAAGGAAATAGCACCTTGCGGTTTTTCTGTCTGTGAAGTTCAGCATTTTAAAGAAAACCAGGGACCTAAAGGACGTTTGGCTAGTAAGGGCAAGTTTCCTACGGAAGAAACTCGGAAGAGTCCTCTTCGGAAGCCCCTTAGATGCTGCCAGTGGCCGAAGTAGGAGGGCACAGAAAGGAATTTTTGATCTCTCGGTGTCCTATTTTTCTTTGGGAAAAAAATAAGGTCAGGTACTTGTAACCAGGCTGTTGAAGTAATTCAGAAGTTTCCCCCCCACCCCCGAAAAAGGTTGACATATATTTGCAACTGTTGGTGGCAGTCGCTTTTTTGCCGAACGGAGGTGGTCTGGGGTGGAGTGGAGATGGAATGGGTGCTAGAAGACGAGTGAGAAAAGAGAACCGTTGGACTTAGCCATGCTTCAGGGTGAGGCTTTATGGTCTTTGACAACGGGCAGCCTGGAGAAATTACCTTTATCTTTTCGTGTTGTTTTTAAGAAGTAAATGAGCCTCAGGAGAATGTGCGCTTGACCACAGTGGGGCGGGGGCGTGAAAGCAGGTTTGGAGTCTCTGGTGATTGCAGAAGGAGGAAGGCTTGTAACTGCCGGCTGCTCATTGGACGGACTCCCCGAGCTCGCTCGCTTTCTGTTCTGCTTCTTCACCCCCATTTTCCACGGCCAGTGCCAAGGTCTGTGCTCTTTGCCCAAGACTAGCTACAGCGTGCTTACTCATCCTTTTATCATCTCTCTCCGTCAAAGGGCTGGGGGGTGCAGGGGGGAGTCAAGATCAGAGGCTGAGAGACGCTTGTGTAGAGATAGGGGTGACTCCTGTAGGGTGCAGTGCCAAATCGTGTGGGGGAAGAACAGGTGACAGCGTTAACAGCTGCAGCCATGAAGGAACCGTGCCTCAGCTGGAGGCTTTTGAAGTCCCTTACCGTCCCGAATGCCTGTATGGAACCCGGCATCCCACCTTTATTGGCAGTCTGAACCACGGAGCCCTTTGCTTCTCTGCATTTTGAAGTGTGGGACTATAACATATCTAGGCTCTTGAGTGAGTTCTATCTAATCAGATAGAGTGCCCACTAATTAAACGTAGCAGTCTCTGAATAATCAAGTTACAGGTGACCTGTACCTGGGCTACCTGATCTAAACTGGGAGAATGCCCCAAAAGATCCCGACTTATTGACCCCTTGAAATTCTGGAGCTGGTGATTCCAGTCTTCAGTAAGCAAGTCTAGCATTTTATCACTGTTTTGCTAAAGAAGTTCCTTATGTCTAGTCGAAACCCATTCTGTCTTATCTGCCTTCTAGTCATCATGCTCCTAAAGACCCAGATGTGACACGTCACCCCTTTGCCTTCACTTGACATTTATTTTAAACTGCTGTTAATAAAATACTGTGCTAAATTAGCCTCCAGTGGCACACAGAGTAAGTTCAGTCCCTGTTTTCTGTGCCTTCAGTATGTCATATTGCTATATCCTACGTCATTTTCTCCGTATTTATTTTCATATGTGGTGATTAAAGTGAAATGTATTTTGCAGAGGTTAAATTATTCCCAGTCTTTGCATTTGATTTTACAATTGTTTACCTTTGTTATGAACCAGGACATTTTGTAGTTGTGGGCGCTTTTGTTTTGCCAGCATCAAAAAAGGAGATAATTCCCTGATTCCATGTAGTAGCTACTCTTCAGAGAATTATTCACTATTCAGACTTCTGAGTTTACTGACACGCTTGCTTGCGAATGGCGCTATGCTAGAGAAATTTGAGTATTTGTGTTTCTTTTCTAGGTTGTGTTACTTTGTGATACTAAGCTGTTGTGTCATATTTACTGGGGGTGGGAAAAGGCTAAGCTAGAAACCACACCTTTCCTAGAATGTTCTTTCGGTTAAATATCTTATGCCAGGTTGACTAGTAAAATACTTGTAAGTTTATTTTAAAAGTTTGCCTTCATATAAAACTAGCAAGTGCAATGATTGTTTTACTACTTGGCGTTCAAATTTTGTATTTTTTAAAAACATTGATAAACCTACCAGTGAGGAAAATATAATTAATTCTCAGGTAATTTATACAACTCTTTTTTTTCCCCCCGAAGTACTTTTCCTGTTATTTACAATGTTAAGCTTTTTAGGACACCTCACGTCACCTGTAACGCAGGCTGGCTTTCAGGGAGTGCTTTGTAGTAATTGTTTTAGTGGTGGCCAAATGTACCAGCTCCCTTACATCTATTGTTTCTAACACAAACGAGTAGTCCCGTGATAGGAGGTAACTAAACTTAATCGAATTAAAGTTATGGTGTCATTTAATTATCTTCAAATAAAATCTGGCACCTTTTTCACTGGAATGTTCTACAGAGAGCTTTGATAATGGAGTTTACCATTAGACCGTCAACAAAAGACTGTCATACGTAAGCCTCAGGGGTTAACAAGCAGGAGGGAATCAGGAATGTGAAAGATCTTAAGAGAGAAAATGAAACAATTCTGTGGTTTGGTAAAAGGCAATTCAGTAAAAGTAACTCAAATTATTACCTACCTTGTCAAAATCTTTTAGGTAGTAAAGAACATGCATCCTTTGATTTGGATACTTCAGAGGGAAAGATGTCATTAAATTTGTTTCCGGTAGAATATAGTCCAATTGTATTCTGATTTACTGTATATTTTTTAATTATCCTATCCTTTTCTAACACATTGCATTGAATTTTATTTTTTATTTATTTATTTTTTTTGCGGTACGCGGGCCTCTCACTGCCGTGGCCACTCCCGCTGCGGAGCACAGGCTCCGGACGCGCAGGCTCAGCGGCCATGGCTCACGGGCCCAGCCGCTCCGCGGCATGTGGGATCTTCCCAGACAGGGGCACGAACCCGCGTCCCCTGCATCAGCAGGCGGACTCCCAACCACTGCGCCACCAGGGAAGCCCCTGAAAATTTTTAAGGTAAAAGGTTGTGTACCTGTGGGAGGGGATAGTCCTATAGTGACCACCTTGTGTTGAAGCTTGAAATTAACTTTTTTTTCAGTGTCATACATTGTTTTGTACAAGAGAATAATCAGAGCTTGAATTTGCGATTATGACTTCCCGTGCTTAATGTAATTTTTTAGACTTTTTTTTAAGTATAGTTGACGTACAATGTTTATATAAGTTACAGGTATACAACAAAGTAATTCACAATTTTTAAAGGTTATACTCCATTTATAGTTACTATAAAACACTGGCTGTATTGCCCGTGTTGTACAATATACCCTTGTAGCTTATTTTGTACATAAAAGTTTGTACGTCTTAATCCCCCACCCCTGTATTGCCTCTCCCCACTGCTAACCGTTAGTTTTGTATATCTGTGAGTTTGCTTCTTCTTTGTTATATCAGATGTTACTTTGATGTCCATGTGGGTTATATCGATCCCTACTTACCTTCATCTCCCCGAAAAGAAACTCTGTACTCATTAGCAGTCAGTCACTTCCCATCCTCTCCTCACCTCAGCCCCTATCATCCACTGATCTACTTTCTGTTTCTATGAATTTACTTATTCTGGACATTTCATATAAATAGAATCACGTATACGTGGTCTTTTGTGCCTGGCATTTGTCGTTTAACATAAGTATTTTCAAGGTTCATCCATGTTGTAGCATGTATCAGTAATTCATTCCTTTTGGTTGCCAAATAATATTGCATTATTTGAATATACCACATTCTGTTCACACATTTGTCAATTGATGGACATGCAGGCTGTTTCTACACTTGAGCTATTAGAAGTACTGCTGTTCTGAGCATTCGTATTTCACACGAAATGTGATTTTGTGTGTGATTTTTGTGTAGACATGTTTCGCTTCTTTTAGGTATACTCCTAGGAGTGTAATTGCTGGGTTGTATGGTAATTTTATGTTTAATATTTTGAAGAACTGTCAAACTGTTTTCCAACCATTTTACATTCCAGCCAACAGTTGAAATTGGTTTCAATTTCTCCACATCCTCGCCAACACTTGTTATCTTTTTGTTGAATTTTTATTATTTTTTATTTATTTTTTTATTGACATATAATACAGTTGACTCACAGCGTTGTGTTAGTTTCTGGTGTACGGGAAAGTGATTCTGTAATATATATATATTCATATTCTTTTCAATTATGGTTTATTATAGTGTATTGAATATAGTTCCCTGTGCTATGCAGTGGGACCTTGTTGTTTGTATCTGCTAATCCCAAACTCCTAATTTATCCCTCCCCCTACCTCCGTTCC